TTTAAAAAAAAAAAAAAAAAAAAAAACCTTTCCTCTCTCTCCACCCTACCAATTCTTACCATCTCATGTACCATTAGAGCCTTCTCTCTGGCCTTGAAAGCTCCAGTCTCTTTTCTGTCCCCCAAATCCATTGAAAACACTGTTGCCAAAATCATTTTCCTTCCCTAGCACTTCAACCATCTAACTTCATCTGTTTCTCCATTGGCTCTTCTTTCTTCACCAGATTAGATTTCTTTTCCTTACCTTCACAGTGCTTCATATTTTAGCCCTAGTCAGCCCATCTGCTGTAATATTTTATCGAACTGTGTTGATTTTTCCTTCTCCTTTTCAGTATCATGTTTTCTTGTCTTCCCCATCTTTGCAAAATGATTTTAGATGTGTTTATCTAATCTTTCTGTGTATCTTCTATATTTTATTTGCAGAGCCATGTTTGAAGTTAACATGAAAGAAAGAGATGATGGGAGCGTTACTATAAGTAATTTGTCACCTAAGGCAGTGAAGGCTTTTCTTGATTATGCCTATACAGGAAAAACAGAGATAACAAATGATAATGTGGAAATGCTCTTCCAGTTGTCATCATTTCTTCAAATTTCACTCCTTTCCAAAGCTTGCAGTGACTTTCTAGTAAAAACTATCGATCTTGTCAATTGTTTACAATTGCTTTCCTTGTCAGAAAGTTATGGGTCTGTTCATTTGTTTGATCATACACTAGAATTTGCACTGCACCATTTTTCCTTTTTGCTCAGATCCGCTGATTTCTTGGAGATGAATTTTGAGATATTACAAAAATGTCTTGAAGCAGATGAATTAAATGTCCCTGAGGAAGAAACTGTGCTGAAAGCTGTCCTTCAGTGGACCAAACATAACTTAGAAACAAGACAGAAGCATCTGCCTCAGTTGATTAAAAAAGTGAGATTACATCATTTATCTGAAAAGACCCTGCAGGACTTTTTGCACTCTGAAGAACATTTGTTTAAGAGTGCTAATTGCTTAGTAATAATGAATGATGCAATTAAAAGTGTGCAACATTCCAGTGGACTGTTTCCAGATGCTCGCCCTTCAACAACAGAAAAATATATATTTGTTCACAAAACGGAAGAAAATGGAGAAATCAGGCATACATTTTGCTATAATATCAAAACTGATAAATGGAAAGAGCTGCCACATACACACATGATTGATCTGCCAGGCTCAAGTTTATGTAGTTATGGAGAAAAGATATTTATAACTGGTGGGTGCAAAGGGAACTGCTGTAAGACTATTAGACTTCATATTGCTGAGCCATTTCATGATGCTACTGACCAGACCTGGTGTTACTGTCCAGTCAAAAATGAATTCTCTTTGGTGTCACCTATGAAAAAAACAAGGACAATGCACACATCTGTCATGACCCTAAATCAGTTGTTTGTAATTGGTGGAAAAACCCAAGGAGCACAAGACACAAGAAGTCTTTTGGATGTAGAGTCTTATAATCCTCTCTCCAAAAAATGGAAATCTGTAAGCCACTTACCAAGAGGCATATACTATCCAGAAGCAAGTGCATGTCAAAATATAATTTATGTCCTTGGCTCTGAAGTAGAAATTACTGATGCCTTTAATCCATCCCTTGATTGTTTCTTTAAGTATAATGCTATGACCGATCAGTGGTCTGAGCTTGTAGCAGAGTTTGGACAGTTCTTTCATGCAACGTTAATCAAAGCTGTTCCCGTGAACAGCACGTTGTACATATGTGACCTTTCCACCTACAAGGTTTACAGTTTTTGCCCAGAAACTTGTGTTTGGAAAGGGGAAGGATCTTTTGAATGTGCTGGCTTTAACGCAGGAGCAGTTGGAATAGAAGACAAAATTTACATACTAGGTGGTGACTATGCTCCAGATGAAATTACAGACGAAGTGCAAGTCTATCACAGTAACAGGTCTGAGTGGGAGGAAGTCTCACCAATGCCAAGAGCCTTAACTGAGTTTTACTGTCAGGTAATTCAGTTTAACAAATGCAGGGACCCGTGGTTCTCTCTTTTGGCAGAGTGCTCTGAAGGATTTTAAAGGTTCATAAGGTCAAAATAGCATACTTAAGTTTTAACTGTTTAAAAGCTGTTTAAAAAAATCCTGTAAGTTTTATTTATTTTAAACCTCTTCTGTTTAAAATGTATTCAGTAGGATTGTGTGTACATATATTTTGTTGTTCATAACTAAACATCTTAATGGGATGAATTAAGATTTTTTTTATCCTGGTAGAGGGAGTCTAGACACAGCATTGTCTCAATTTTCACTTGCTGCACTGACTTTAGCAAGGGTAAATACCAAAGAAGCCTTGATCTTCACAAAGCATTCAGTCTGAATACTTAACCTGAAGACAGTAGTCATTTCTACAGTTTGATTTTTTTTTTATCTCTTCCTTGTGGCCTGTTTCACTCGCTTCTTGTGCCTTGGTAGTAGCCATACTTGCTGTTTTAATTCTGGCCTTGTGGTAAGGTAATATCTTGATACTGACACCTTTCTACAAGGATTGCTGTATTGTATGTGGCTCACACAGTAACTTCTTGCAGCTGTACAGATAGTTATCTCAGTAGTGCTACCAGCCACAGGTAGGCCAAAAGAGAAGGTCTAACCTAAGTCTTCCATCTGTCAAGCATAGAATGCTACTTACTAAGCCACTGTTAAGTGAACTGGGAGGCACAAGTTTGTAATAAAACTGCTTCAGTGAACTAAATTGGAAGAGTCCATATAACATTGTATATAAAATGCTAAGTAGAGAACAGAAATAAATCCTCCATCTGTATAAATTAAAATGGACATGTTTCTGAAGTCAAGTCACTGCATTTTTTAAAATTATAAATAAAATTTTAACTAAACTAAAACCATTCAAGATATGTACTTTCACCTTGTACCCAACAATCCATTTTGGATGTACATATCACATGATAATCACTACTCTAAATATATTGCTTGAGAAAATATTATGGTAAGCTAATATAATAATGGTAACGTTTCAGTGAAACATTTCATTTGGCAAATTTAGCACTCTACTTCCAAAGTAGAGTTGTCTTTCATGGAGGAAAAAAGTGCTAGTTAAGCATATGCATCTTCCAGTGCCCCATCCAGCTGCTTCAGGCATGTACTGGGGTCTGAACTTGCTTTTATGTGTAATGTATGCTGTAGTAACAATATATTGAAATAATAAACTCATGTTACCTAGGAAAAACACTACACATTTGTTTAGAGCATATACTATGTCTAAGCAATGTAAATTGAACAAATAAATAAAATTCCAGAGATGTTATAGATAACTTTCTTGATATGTGCAGGGGCCTGCAGCAAGGCAGTAGCCCTAGACTTTCAGAGGGCCAACTTCAATGAGTTGAGATTAGTGGGAGAGGTGCTGTGGTCCTCGAGAGTAGGCAAACTCAGTGCCCAAGATGAATGGCCGTTCCTTAAGGAGACGATACTCAGAGCCCAAGGGGTGTCAATCCTAACAAGAAGCAAGGGGGCAAGACTGCCCAAAAGCTCTCCTGGCTCACCAAGGGCATTCGTGAATGCCTGATTGCCAAAAAGGTGTACATCTGGTGGAAGGGAGGGGCTATCGCCAAAGAGAAGTATACCTCCACCGTTCGGTTCTGTAGGAGGGCTGTTAGAAAAGCTAAGGCAGATATGGAGCTAGGGCTAGCGTCAAGGATCAAAGATAATAAAAAGTCCTTTTTTTAATATATAAGGAGAATGAAGAGGGCACCGGGTACTGTGGGGCCCCTACAGGATATGCTTGGCAATCTGGTGGTTGCACCAGAGGAGAAAGACCTCTTTAACAAATTCTTTGCCTCCATTTTCTTGTGCAGGGACCAGGACTCCCCGACCAAGATTCCAGACAGACTCAGGAGAAGCATCGCTAGGCCTAAGGTCGGGGAGGACAGGGTAAGAGAGCTTCTGGAGGGGTGGCTGTGTTCAGATCAGCAGGTCCAGATGCTCTCCACCCCAGGGTGTTGAGGGAATTGGCAGGGGTTATTGCTGGGCCCCGGCACAGTTTTACGAGCACTCGTGGTGCTCTGGCCAGGTGCCAGATGATTGAAAGAAAGCCAGCGTGGTCCCCATCTTTAAAAAAGAGAAGAGGGAGGACCTGGACCACTATAGGCCCATTAGTCTTACTTCAGTCCTGGGGAACTCTTTGAGAAGATGATCAAGGAGCACACCTGTGATGGGTCAGCAGCAGGGATGATGCTCAAGGGCAACCAGCAAGGTTTCATTAGGGGCAGGTGCTGTCAGACCAACCTGATTGCCTTCTACAATCAGGTCACAAAAACATTGGGCGCAGGTGTTGCAGTGGATGTAGTCTTTCTGGACTTCAGCAAGGCCTTTGACACTGTCTCCCACCCCATTCTCATTAAAAAACTAAGTGACTGTGGCATTGATGCCTACACAGTCAGATGGATTGCAAATTGGCTGAAGGGTTGTACTCAGACGGTAGTAGTGGACGGGTCTTTTTCGACTCAGAGGGAAATGGGCAGTGAAGTCCCCCAGGGCTCGGTCCTTGGGCCCGCACTGTTCAATTTCTTTATTAGTGACTTGGACAATGGGGTGAAAAGCAGCCTGTTTAAATTTGCTGATGATACCAAGATTTGGGGTGAGGTGGGCATGCTAGTAGGGAAGGA